GGTTGACCCCTTCCTCACCAACCCATAGGAGGCTCATACGACCTCCTTATAAATAGCCCTCTTTGGCACACCAAAGAGGCATCTTATGTATCGTTATTATGCCCATTTTATATTAAGTCACATATACTCACACTGAATCATCTATTGTTATCTTCTTGTGTTGAGATTTATAGTCCCACATTGGTTGTATGAGCAACTAATGTGGAGTTTATAAGGCTTTGGGCACTCCCACCCTTTGAGCTAGCTTTTGGGGTGGTGTATCTCAAGGTTCTTTACATGGTATCAGAGCCTCGCCGCCGCCCACTTTCTCTTGTGGACTTTCTTAGCACAGGTTGGCTGGGCCTGTTGCATCTTCCACTCTTCAAGCCCAATGGGCTCTCGTGTGAGGGGGCGTGTTGAGATTTATAGTCCCACATTGGTTGTATGAGCAACTAATGTGGAGTTTATAAGGCTTTGGGCACTCCCACCCTTTGAGCTAGCTTTTGGGGTGGTGTATCTCAAGGTTCTTTACATCTTGACATCATACTTGGTACAATGTTCTCTAGCTTGGTCTTTACCTCTGCTAGTGGCACCATCCATACAGTGACATCATCTCCAAAGGAAACATAATAGGCTTCTAGATCCCAACGGTACAGTTCCTTTAACAGGATAACCAATTGCAAGCATTATTCCTTGAAACTATGGATGCATTCTTTTTTGCAACTTCGAACTGTATACACATGGTTCATGAGCTTAATTTATATGGTTAAGACAAATTTTTTTATAAGTTTTTGTTAAGGAATTTAACATTCTTGATGGGATAATTTTTTCTTCTTCTCATTTCTCTTCTTTTCTCCTCGTTCCTGAATTGCTAGCAAATCCCTTAGGTAGTGTTTGGTTGAAGGTTTATTTAAGGATTGATGGGAAAGTGTAGGTGGATATTGGAAAATACCACGTTTGGTTCAGGTTTTTTCAAGAAATACCAGACAAATAGGATAGATGGGAAAATGACTTTTGTGTTGATTTTTGGATGAAATTCACTGTTACAGAATACCACTTGAGATGTGGTATTGTGAGATGACTGGGAAAGTGAAAAAACAGGTGCAAAGTTTTTCCCGAACATAGATTTTGCATATTTAAATAAATTTTCCTGGTAATATTTGGGTCAACCAAACAACTTTTTTTATATTTTCCTATCAAACTCACTTTCCTATCAATTACGTTTTACTAGTAAAAAAATTTCTCCCGAATCAAACACTACCTTAAGTATTTTAATAATGGGTCTTCCTTATGTCTTAACAAAGTCTAATATATATACTATTTCCCCTTGTTTTCCTTTCACTTGAACAGACAAGAATTGTTATCAAACATTTTAGTAGAATATTACCATTCAAGGAACACCATATAACAAATAATGACTAAATTAACGAACGACTTTTAAGCGAATGGGGACCGACTGAGTACTCACTTTTCTTCTCTTTTCCCCCAATAGGGTGTGCATCCACCCAGAACTACTACAGCTTTAACCCACTAGGCTCAAGTCCATTCGCAATTTCTTCAGAGAAAACAAAGTTTCGTTGACGTGTGGTAACTGCTAATTGGTTAAGCTTTTACCAATTGTCCTCACGTTGCCTTCTATAATAATTCTTTGGTAGTTGGTTCTAGTTAAATAACAAATCATGTCACATATTCTACGTTCTGTGATTATTATTGTTTTTGGTAATAGTTATGTGATTATTTAATCTACTGCATCTCTGTTCATCTATAAAAATTAGATAGCTACATATACAGAGGTCATCTTTTATTTTTTATTTAACTTTTCAATTATTAAAAAAAAAATTATTAATTAAAATAAATTTTTATTACCAAATAAATATAAATTCATTTAGAATCTTCGGAAATAAATATTATTATTTAAATTACTGAAATTATCCCATCAATATTTAGTTGTAAACTAATTTAAAACTAAAACTTGAAGGGATCATTTTTATTACATATATTTTGAAATTAAATAACATATACATTTTCATATAATTAAATTTAGGGAAAACTTTAGTAATAGTTCTAAGGTTTTGATTTAGAATCAAAATACCTCTAATTTTTTTTAATCAGTAATGCCCCTATGGTCGAAAATATCCTTGCCCTTATGTTAAAATTTGATGTAGATGAAGATGAAGTTTACGGGTATTTTTTTTCTCTAAAAAGGGTATTTTTTATTAAACACACACAGGAACATTATTGATTAAAAAAAGTTAGGGATATTTTTTATTCTAAACAAATATTAGGGGTATTAAATGAAGTTTTCTCATAATTTTAGTTATTCTAAAACATTTTTTATGTAAAAAATCAATTTAACCCAAAATTTTAAATTTTTACATATCATATTATTAAGTTTATGTTATATTTCTATAACAGGCTTCTTCACATTCACACGAGAACTCATTCATCTTAAAGGATGAATAATGCATAACCTTGCCTATTATGCTAAGAAATTTTTCAATATTTACCATGTTAAAAATGAATTAAACCAAAAACTTAAATTTTTAAACAAAGACCATATTAATAATTTTATATTATATTTTTCTAACCAGTTGCAGAACCACGTTAGCTCTGGTAAGTGCGTTGGCAATGACTGATTTTTAAAAATAAACCACGTTTCAAAGGGATAGAATTTAATGTTTGATATCAGCTAAATTTTTTTTGCACGACCTGAATAGTTTTGCTAGCTCCATGCCTCCATCATTGTCTCTAACATAATATTTTAGTTACCAAACACTCAAGCCAAAAAAAATAAAGAGCATAAATTTGATTGTTGTCCCTCTTTTTTATTAGTGGTCCTCTTTCATGATATTTATTTTATAATTGAACCTCCTAGGAAAAGAAGTATCCCAAATAAAAGAAAGTGGTGGTTCAGAGTTGATCAGTGACCTGAAGAAAATGCATCACGGGAGGAACTTTTGTTGGTAAACCGTGTCCAGCAGGGAATACTGGGTGCCATTCACAGACACACAAACAAACACACATATATATATATATATATATGGGACATGATCTGTTTACAAATTTTTTTTGCAATTACACTAATGTAGGACCGGTCCTACATAGTGTAGTTTGTAAGAGTTTGTAAACAAAAAAATTTGTAAATATAATCTGCCTCAAAACTCTTATAATGAAAAGTTCTTTTTTTTATAATGAAGAAAAAAGCTGAAAACTAAAAGCTCTTAGGAGGAGTATTTTTTAAGCTCTTATCTGTTTTTCTTGAATTGTGTGCTTTTTTTTTTTTTTTAAATGAAGAGTGATAAAGATATAGATATAATTTTCTTGAAATATGTGTTTTTAAGTCATTTTTAAGCTAAAATTTTTATGTAATTTTCAAACAGCTTTTAGCTTCTTTTTTAAGTTTTTTTTAGCTTTAGCTTATAAGTAGCTTCTAGCTTAAAAATAAGAGGATCCAAACAAACTCTAAATGTGGAGAATCATAATCATAAACCTGTCGTTGCTATACGTAAATCGGCTACATAAATGATTTTACCTATATATATATATATATATATAGAGAGAGAGAGAGAGAGAGAGAGAGAGGTGACATGAATGTGGATTTTGGTTAGCAACTTTGTATGGGGGCGGTTCAATTCCCGCTTCACAAAGGCTTTTGCTTAGCTTTCTGTCCAATTTGAGGTCTGAAACTTTGGAGGCTCCTCTTACCTATTCTTCAAGCATGGGATTGAAAATTTGAAGTAATTTATAATTTTCTAATATACAGATGTGTTAAGTAGACTATGCATATACGTATACGTATAAGTAGACTATACATATACCATGTAGACATGAGAAGAAAAATTTAAGTTAGGCATTTAATCTAATTAACGAATGTGGATGATTTTCTAACATTGAGGATTAGGTATATACCAAACGCCTCCATTTTACTAGTAGCATCATAATTAGACTAGAAGTTCTTCGGTGGCAAGTTTAATATCATTTGCCACCAGTCACGTCTCTAATTTTGTCAACCTTTTGGTATAACGGCACAAACAACTTCAATAATAGAAGCATATTGTATTTGTTAAGAGAAAAAATTTGGTCAACATTTTGGTTAGTTTGAATTTCTAGTCATTGTTAATATTTTTAATACAAAAATTATTATTACATTTTTACTCAGACTCTTATTCAGCCTAACCCTATGAAAAATTTATTAAGAGGACAAATGTATCACAAGGACATAGCAGTCCTTAGGAAAATTTATTGAGGGGCAAAGCAATCTTTCACAAACGTATCGCAAGGACAAATGATGTCAAACTTCAGCACTATTTCAATGGTCATGTGATACCAGCTATTATCAAATTTGTCCTTGTGATACGTTTGTGAAAGACTGCTATGCCCCTCAAGAGTGGACCATGTCCTACGCTGAAGGGAAGACTTCCTTAATGTGAATTTGATGAAACTGAGGGGCAGGGGTTTCCCAAACTCATAAAACCAAAAAATTAAAAAACAAATAAATAATAAAGAATTCGAAAAAATTTGTAACAAGAAAGAGAAGCTAGACTTGGTCATTGTGTTGCAGTTATATATAAGGCCATTCACTTCGTCATTATGTAAATGCCAGCACGTTTTTTTAAGGTGCTTATTATTGAGGTTACGAAGAGAATTTTGTAACGAAAACAGAACATAAACACACGGGGGGTAAAAAAAAAAAAAAGAGAAGAAGAAGAACAAGAAGCTCGTAATAGCCGTTGAACAGTTTGTCTTTCATCTCCCATTGTTTTGTTTTTCTGCAGGAAATACATTTGTGATTCTAAAGGTAGGTCAATGTCTTTCAAAAATCTTTCTGTTTAAAATTCGTTTTAATTAATTATTACTAACCATATGGTATGGTAGTTTGACAGTACTCTTTATTTTTTTTTACTATTTTAAACGCATTATCTGAGTTCATTTTTGCATTCCTTAATTTCTTCATCTGGGGTCTTGAATTGGTCTCTGAAATGAAGTTGCTAATTGTTTTTGCAGGTTCATATTGTTAAGAGATGAAGATGAAGGTGATGGGTAAGAAGAGTAAACGGGTTTTCTTCTTATGGTGGTTTGGAATGACTGTGCAGCTCTGTTTCTTGCTTGGTGCCTGTTCCGAGAAGACATCATTTAGGTTCTCCCTCTTCTTTTGCTTCTCATTTTTGTTATATAGTAATTCTGCGTTTTATTTGCGCTTATCTTTACGTGTGTCAGAGAGAACAAAAAGGAAAGGAAGGGAAAGGTAAACATGAAACCATTTAAAACTATAAAAATGAAGACATTCTATGTTGAAGTTGTTGTTTTTATTCTTTCCATGAAAAAAGGTGAGAGAGAGAGAGATAGCTTCGGCAAAATAAAAGAGTCACGGTTTCTTTGTCTTTTGTGTTCCCGTTTCTTGTCACATGAGAACTTTTAGAATTCCATGTCCTTGATTATTTTTTAATGTTAATTTTTTGCTGTGCACCTGTGGTTACGTTTTCAGGTTACTTTTTTTTTCTTCACTTGTGTACATTGCTTTATACTTTATGGTAATGAAAAGGCATTATGCAAGTTAGCCATTGTGGCGATGAAAAGAATCGATTCTTGCACCTTCCCACTCTTCTAATTTCCCATGTCTCCTGAATCATGTCTACTTGCAAAATAATCTTAACCTGCGACACAAATCTTTTGAATTAAAAAACTTTAAATGGCATACATTCTCTGTTACATGCTCTGCATCAATAATAATATTCTACTTACTACAGTAATAATGAAATATCCCGTGTTCTGTTCAAATAATATCAATAAAGGTTAAAGAAGTCCGTGCATGTACTTAAATTTATGTTATTTGCACACTTATGCAAATCGTAATGTCCAATACAAGTTATATATGTGTACATAATTTTTTATGTTCACAAATGGGCTTAAGTATTTTAAATATTCAACCATGGAAATTTTTCACTAGCCATGTTGTTCTGGAGTCCTGATTACCAACTTCACTTTTCTATCTCTGTCCTATTTCGAGAAAAATAAGCAATCTATAACAGAAAGGGAAAATGAACCTTTGACCAGAACCAAAATATGTATTCAGAGCTCAATTAATTGCCCCTATACTATATTGTAATTAAATTAGCTGTCATCTTATTCTTTTTCCTTTAAATATTTCCCATGCAAACCATGATAATTATTCCACTTTAATTTTTACAAATTTTTCTTTCATGCATGCGTTTCATCTGCAGAAGAGGTTTAAGGGAAATCAACAGCCTGGAACCAACACCTTCTTTTTCTGAAGTCAAGCTGAATACAGAAAATCATCAGCAGGTGATGCTAGCTGGCTTTTGGAACAAGTTAATTAATTAAAAAATTATAAAAATAAACTCATAGTTAGATTTTCTTTTTTCGTGTGAAATTACAAGTACTTGGTTTAGACCATGACAATTGTCTTCCACTTTCACTTTCTCAGTTGGTTGTTGACAATGGCATTGTTACCGTCATTTTGTCAAGACCTGAGGGCTACGTCCTTGGAATATCATATAATGGAATTGACAATATACTTGAAGCTGAAAACGAAGAACAAGATAGAGGGTATGTACCTACTTCACATGAAAGTAATAAAGTTTGGTATAAATAAGTCGTGGTTTAATTGACCGAATTTGTAGGTACTTGGACGTTGTATGGAATGAACCAGGAAAATCTAGTAATTTTCAGAGGTATAATTTTTATGTTCTATAATATATTAAATTATGGGTTGATGTATTGGTCCACTTAAATTACAACTAATAACAAATAAAGTCGCACGATTCAATAGATTAATTTATGATGGAAACCATGTTACAGAATCCATGGAACAAATTTTTCGGTTATAGCAGCTGACGGGAATCTGGTGGAGGTCTCATTTTTAAGAACGTGGACATATTCCATGAGTGGCTCCAATGTCCCCATAAACATAGACATAAGGTGCATTTTAATTCTAAGTTTTTGTTAGTTAGCTACTATATATAAGCTAATTAACTAATTATTTATGCAGATATATTTTTCGAAGTGGTGATTCAGGATTTTATTCCTACGCAATATTTGATCGTCCTGAAGGATTTCCGGCGGTGCAGGTTGATCAAATTAGGATTGTTTTCAAACTCAAGAAAGACAGGTAATTATAAAAAATAAAAAAAATAGTAATTAGAGAAAAGAATTAGTGCTTCGAGAAAAACATTAGAACTTTTGTTTTGTCCTATGTTTATAAATAAAAAAAGAAAACTAGTGTTACTTCCCGGTAAAAAATTAATACACTTTTTTTTTTTAAATTGGTTATGTAAAGTTTTATTTCAGTCACTTACTTCTTGAATATTTAGATCTGTTTCAATTAAATCTTTATACGCATTTTTTTTTAGACATTTAATTGTTAAAATTATAAGGTAATAATTATCTCCTACCGACTCATTTATATAAGTGGTGTCAACCTTCAAGGGAAGAGAGAAAAAAAATAGAGTTGGACCCATCTTGAATTTGTGTGTAGGGGATAGATTTTTTCTTATGTAACATAAGAATAATAAATTCCAAAATTATATCCTAAAAACTTAAATTTTGTCAATCTTTAATTTTTGAAGGAAAAAATTGATGTTTTGTGGTTTACTAATGGAAAATCAACCGCACAGGTTCAACTATATGGCTGTATCAGATAACAAGCAAAGAAGCATGCCAACGATGAGAGATAGAGAAACAGGTCAAATTCTGGCTTACCCTGAAGCAGTTCTTCTAACCAGACCAATTAACCCAGAATTTAGAGGAGAGGTGTGTATCTCTTTTTGTAGACTCTTAGGTGGTGTTTGGTTGGGAGCTTTTCAGTGGATATCTATCTTTTTCAAGTATGACTTTTAGAAATACCATGTTTGTTTCAACGTTTTTCACCAAAAACCCATCTATCCAATTTGTCTGGATTTATGAGAAACATAGATATCCGCACTGTTTAGAAACCCAATTTGAAGATGGGATTTTTCGGAAAACCGGTTATCTGGCTTTTAATGCACTGTTGATTTCATAAAGTTACCTAATTTTCTCAGTAAAGTTTTTCCCCACCAAACAACTTTTTTTTACATTTTTCTATTTATCTCACTTTATCTATCTTTCCAATCATTTCTCTATCTATCTTATTTCTCTACTATTTCAAAAAAATTTCAAAAACCAAACGTCCCTTTAAGTTAATTTGCTAGTTTGATTTGTCAGAGGTTTTTGTCTGTTTATGCATTTTGTTACTGACATGGGTTTTGGTTCAAAATGCCCGTGAATGAATATGAATGGTTGTGTTGGGCTCAGGTGGATGACAAGTACCAATACTCATGTGAGAACACAGACAACACTGTTCATGGATGGATTAGTCTTGATCCTGATGCACCCGTGGGTTTCTGGATGATAACACCTAGTAATGAGTTTCGCAATGCTGGGCCCATCAAGCAAGACCTTACTTCTCATGTTGGCCCCTTCACCCTCTCGGTATGTCCCACCATCTTATCTAAAACCAGCCCAAACAAAACACAACAAAAATCTATAATTGACATTTTATGCACAATCAAAATCGATATGTTGTTATTGTCACTAACACTGTTAACAGTACCCGAATAACCAACAAAGCATATAATATATTATTTCCTTTTTAATTTGCAAATTTTATTTTTGCTTAGATGTTTGTGAGCACCCACTATGCTGGCAAGGAGGTAACCATGGCATTTCAAGAAGGTGAGACTTATAAAAAGGTTTTTGGTCCTGTATTTGTCTACGTTAACTCTGCTTCAAGCAACGAGGATTCACTATCCCTCTGGTCTGATGCTGTTCAGCAGGTACTATTAACCCCCTAACAGCACCAAGCTGTGTTAATTTATCACATATTATCGTAGGAAAGATTATATTTACAAAATTTTTATTTACAAACTACACTATATATTACAAACTATATTATGTATTTCCGAAAATACATTAGGTTACACTATATACTTTCAGGAGTATATAATGTAATTTGTCAAAATTTGTAAAAAAAAATTGAATACTTCCCCGTCATTATATTGCTTATGTTGTGACAAATAATTTGATTTTGTTACTTCGACCAATTAGCTATCCAAGGAAGTTAAAAGCTGGCCTTACGATTTTCCTCGATCAGAAGATTACCTTCCACCCAATCAACGAGGAACAGTATTTGGAAGATTACTAGTCCAAGATTGGTGAATTTTATTGCCTTGATTTACCTTCATTTTTTTTCTTTAATTTCATATGATGACATTTAAATATAAAAACAGCTGATGTTCCTTTTATTTCATTGCTTCACCAGGTACATCAGGGAAGGAAGATTTCAATATGCTAATAATGCTTATATTGGTTTAGCTTTGCCTGGAGATGCAGGGTCATGGCAGAAAGAAAGTAAGGTATAATTGGAGCTGGAGCCACTGAAACCTCTTTAGTTTCTTAAATTTTGGATAGATAGGTAATTAAAAAGGGTTTGAATTTTATGCCATTCACAGGGCTATCAATTCTGGACTCGAGCTGACACCAAGGGATACTTCGTAATAAAAAATATTGTGCCAGGTGATTATAATCTGTATGCTTGGGTTCCTGGCTTCATTGGAGATTACAGATATAATGCTACAATTACCATCACACCAGGTAAAATATCTTCATCTTCTCTCTTGTGGGTTTAACACAAAATTAGTTATGACTAGCTCAATTGAACAATTACTTGTATTTGTATGAACCTATAGGAAGAGTCATCAAATTGGACTCACTTGTATATAGTCCTCCAAGAAGTGGACCTACCCTTTGGGAAATTGGGATCCCAGATCGCTCCGCTGCAGAATTCTATGTACCAGACCCTTACCCCACGCTCATGAACAAATTATACAACGAACAGCGCAGAGACAAGTACTCCAAAACCCATTATTATCAAATTATGTTTCTTTTAGTGTGCAAAATCTTTTTTTATTTTCCCCCTCTTACTCATTCAAACTATTTCTACTTTCAACAGGTATAGGCAATACGGGTTGTGGGAACGTTATGCTGATTTATATCCAAATGATGATCTAGTGTACACTATTGGTGTCAACAAGTATAATAAGGATTGGTTTTTTGCTCATGTTACTAGGTAATTAAAAATTTGTGGATAACTACAGTTAATTATTAAGTTTTGTTGGATTTCAACTCTACATTGCACTGTATATGCAGAAACTTAGGAAATAAGACATACCAACCAACGACATGGCAGATTATATTTGACAATCCAACTGACATATTGGGAGGAAACTACACACTACAATTGGCCTTGGCATGTGCTGCTGATGCTAACCTGCAGGTACACCATTTCATTTTTTTACACAATTGTACTTTACTGCTATGACTATTGGTCATTTTCACTAACTCTTCTAAGATGGATTTATGATCATATATCAGGTTCGGTTCAATGACCCTAGCGCTTATCCACCCCACTTTGCAACAGGGTCCATAGGTGGAGACAATGCCATAGCAAGGCATGGCATCCATGGATTGCATTGGCTATTCAGCATTGATGTACCAGGTGAACGTTTTGTGAAAGGAAAGAACACCATCTATCTGAGGCAATCGAGAGCTATAAATCCTTTCCAAGGAGTTATGTATGATTATATCCGTTTAGAACAACCACCAGCTCCAACGACTTGATTGTGTCCAACTTCTGGTTGACACAGTAAATAGGCTTGTAATTAGACTTGGTGCTTTGCAATTATTAATTCTTTCATCTTATAGTTAGTGCGAAGGCGTAATTACCTAGAAAGAAGGAATTGATCTATTGAATAAATTGCTCATTTTAATTTATAACAGCGTTTTATGTGTCGTCGTTTTAAACAACCGCCAAGTTAAGTTTTTTTTAGGCAATATCCACGAACCCCTTATTGGTCCCTAGCAATAAAAAGGGACATTGTGGTCCCTTAAATTACAAAAAACAAGCCACATTAGTCTTTATGTTAAATCCCATCCAACGGCCCAACTAACGGTGCATACGTTAGTTTGCTGACGCGGATTTGAGTGGTCCACTGTGGATGTTGAGACGACGACGTTTTGATAATCAGTTGCATCTCCATGGACGTGTGGACACCTGGCCTAGCATCAGTTGCATCTCCAACGCCCTTATTGGTCCCTGACAAAAACCACAGGGCCTTTTTTGGTCCCTAACAAAAGAAAAAACAGGGACATGAAATCAGAAGATTTCTATGCAATCAAATTTGTTAAACCAGAAGACATGGATGTACAACAATCTGACATGGATGTACAACAATCTGAAGTTTGCTTTGTCCTTCTAGTCTTGAGGATAACTTTGTGGGAAAGAGTGTGTCATGTTCTTTTCCCTTGTATTGTATCATTGTATGGGTGTGAGTGCAGCTTTTGTACTGAACCAACTCCTCCACAATGTAACATACTGGTATTGTTATCATTGCATATGGTATTAAGCGCAGTTACAATCACAGTAATTGAGTAAATTAAATTACGGGTAAACTTTTTCTTTTATTACATTCCTTTCTTTAAACATTAACCATTTCCGTAATCAATTAAAACAACGCCATAATTGTAAATGCAAAACTCGTGGAAGCATAAAATATACCCAACATCAACTCTGTAAGCAATACCATTCATTTTAGATTTTAGAAAACACATTTTCAAATTTCAACACAGTGGTAATCGATTACCATCCTTGAGGTAATCGATTACCAAAGGTTACTGTAGAAGTCAGAACCTTAATTTGGGCTCCCCTGTTTTCTGGTAATCGATTACCAGATATTGGTAATCGATTACTGAACTAGGTAATCGATTACCAACCTCTGGTAATCGATTACTTTGATCACAGTGGCTCAAATTTTTGTCCTCTGTCTCAGGTAATCGATTACCAATGAAGGGTAATCGATTACTCTGCAGTAAAAATGACAGATGACAGCTTTCAAGACACAAAATGAGTGATGTAACATACTCCTAACACCTTGATACTTAATATACACCTTACACAAGTACTAACGTAGGCTCTAGGCCCTTCCATCAGGCATATTCATTAATCAATGCATCAGTACAACCATTTACAATATCATAGCCATTTTACACAACCAATGGTCTATTTACAACTAAAGTCTTCCAATGCCTCAAAATACAATTATGTGGCCATGGACAAGTCTCATGCTCACTCAAAATACAAAAATAACAAGAGGCATAACTATACTTCAACTTTAAAGGACTTAACATATAGTCCTAAATATACAAGAGCATGGCAATATCCACATGCAACCAGTTCATAACCTAAGTCCACAATATTAAATACTATGTTATGTACATCAAATGGAATCTTTCAATATGTCATGCTCTCCAAATGCACCTCACGCTCTACTCCTCCACTAAGTGGGCCTCTTGCCCGGAGATCCACCATGCTCAGCAAGACCTGAAATGATGTCCCCAAACGCGAGGTGAGATATACAAATATATCTCAGTAAACCAAGGGTACTAGAGGATCACTCCACCCCATGGCTCACTCAATGTGCAAACAATGATCATCATATAAAATGCATAACATACAAATATCACACAACAACAACTGGGCACAAATCCAAGGACATCCACATCAGGATTCCCTTAAAGGACCCCATCATATAACTCCCGGAATCTTCCTGGTGTCTCTCCCATGGTTGAGACGACCCCATGGCAAAACCCAACTGGAACTCCTCATGAGCCCTATCCAGCGGATGTCCCACATTTGGATCATCCTGGTACCACTCCCAGAGTCGGCCCCACGGCAACAACCCGACCGGAATCCCCAAAGGATATCTCCAGCGGAAGTCCAAACCAACACACATCTACTGGCCAGAGATCACAATTATATCACACAACATGCTCCAAGCATGTCACACAATCATGGCAATAATGCATGAACATACATTTATACATAATCAAAGGCATCAAATCCAACCACAACCTTCCACTAGGTTTGGTGGAACACACGAGGGAATAAAACCCAAGTTCCAAAAGTTTACCTCAACTCTGAAGCCAATGCTCCACAACCTAAGCTCCAAGCTTAATTCTCCTCTATTGAGTCCGAGAGAGGAAACCTATAATGATCAATCAACATGATCATCAATACAATTTCAAGACAACCAATTCACTTTCAAAATACAATAATTCTCAACAAAACAACTTAGACCAAATGGCCAACTACATTTAATCCAATTACTTCAACCATTTTAGTCATTAAACTAAATCACCATTTATGCACTAAGGCATCACTCATTGGTTATACCACATTTTCACATCATTTTCCTTATTTCCTTCAATATGGTTGAAATCTCACACACACAACACATCCAACATTTCTCCCTTTCAATTTCACTACATCAAACCAACCTACCATTCATTTAAACACCAATCACGATCATATAGCATCAACTATAACATTTTTACATCATCTAACCATCCATGACCTCAATAGGTCAATTTCTTCATGCTAGGATCCCAAAGGATATTCCATCCAATTCAACACTTACACATGTCATGAAATCCTAATATTAACCTATACCAATGGTCCATAATTCAATTATTCAATTACACCACATACCAATTTCACAAAGTCTTGAAAACTCAACACAAAATTTGCCTAAGTTAAAATTCCCACATCACCATAATTTTATTGTATCAATCATCATCATTTGACAATTCAACACTCATATAATCATATTCTACAACATCTCACTACACAATTTTACACAACTCATTTCTCCACTTTCATGACAATTATTTTTTCTAAGTTAAAAACTCAACATTTTCACCTAAATTTTCATAGCATTTCTAGCTCAATCATGTCATTCTAAGACATTATCGTCTAATGCAATTTTTTCATTTGAGCTTCCAATCATCATAAATCAACAATTACAAGCATAGGGTTCATAAATTTGATCTATGAAATCAATCATAAAAACCATGTAAATACACTCACAATCAATGCTAGACTCTCCACCAAGGCTTCTCCAAGCATCTAGAGGTCCAATGCCTCCATGAACATCACTTTTTTCCAATCTTTCAAAACTGACCTAGGCTAAATACTCACCAAGGGAGCGATTTCAAAGCTAGGGGGTATCACCAATGGCTTTAGAATGGGTTTTCCAATTGATTTCAACACCAAAATCAAAGGATTTGGCCAAGAAATGATGGTTTTGGAGAGCAAAAGGATGAAGGCTCATCAATGGTGGGAGGGGCTGTTTCAGGCTGGAAAAGAAAGGGAAAGGAGAGAGAGAGCTCATGAGGTTGAGGGAAAATGAGGGAAACTTAAGTGGGTTTTGGTTCCGCGGGTCTCACACGCGATTTAACTTTAATTAATCACCTAATTTAAACCACAAATTCATAACCTACATATTTTTCTCGTTCGCGTCATATTTTTTATTCCTAAAAATACTGATCAAAATTTCACACTTATCGGTACAATTATACCGCAGTATTTTTTACACCGGAAAAATCACTATTCATCAAAATTTTCAAAACTTTCCTATTCACTCGATTTTTCGTCTGGATCCATTTCCGACATTATTTTTATCATTTGAGGTCTTCTACTCAATTTTTCATGCCTAGGGATACGTGTTTGGTAAATTACCGTTTTGCCCTTTTCACTCAGTTTGGCCTTAATTTCCGGATTTTCACTAATCCTTCCCTTTTAACCCACATTATAGCACATAATTTCATACTTAGATTTACGAGGTGTTATACACAACCACAAGCGAAACCTGAAGCCACACTCACTCGCCACCACAACCACCGAGGTTGTGATTAAAAAAATCCTCACTTACCTCGAAGCTGGTCGGGTTCGAAGAGCAGTTTCGATTCTCTTTGCTTTCCCAGAACCCTTCCCTTTCTCTTTCTACGCCCACCTTTCCGTCTCTGTTCCTTCCACCGCGCCATCGTGGAGGCTCGCAAGGTCGAGTCCCACTTGTCTCGATATTATTGTTAATATATTATGAATAAACTGGATAAACCCCTTGGAATAGAACATGTATTTCTTGAGTAACTGTGATGAGATCACGATTATGAGGATTCAAGGATACCGCACGTTTATTCCTAATTCTATGTTCCTAGTCTAGAGACACTAAGAATGGGGATCAGTGATCTCGGGTAAGACTAGCACGACTTATCTACTTGTATTTGGATACAAGGTAAAGACCTCATCTGCTACAGATATGGAGATGTCTTAGCTAAAGTCGTGGGTGGAACTATAAGGGTATAGCTCGCACTGAACAGACCCACAAAGAGACTCTATGAGGAAATCTCACAAAGAGGATATTAGAGTAGTCTCTTTATATTTGGGTATGTCTTTCCTTAGACCAGAAGTTATTACCTAGACTGTGTTCTAGAAGGCACGCTTTGACTGTATACTTCGTCTTCCTGAAACATGGAGACTCATAGGTACAATGTTGGGCTTGTCCTGAAAGAGCACAAGGCTAGGGTGATAAGCTGAAGGAATTCTTCAAATCTCTGTGAGAGATTAGGTTATCTGTAAATCGAAGAAATCGGGATGACATTTACAAGGACTCGGGAATCTATGCATAGTAAAAGAGGCCATGAGATGATCTATCGTTAGAGTCAGTAAATTAAAGATTCCCTATTTCGAATAAAGCTTACCCTAAACCGCAAGGGTTGATACGTTTCTTTACCCTAGATTTAATGAGGAAGGTAACAGAGACGAAAGGAAATACATACGGCAACCAAATATGTGTAATAGGATGATTATGTCATTAACCTAACTAGCTCTGGGGAACCAAATCATTGCTAGTGCTCTGTGTTGTCATTAGATTGGTTGTGGGCTTGTTGGGCCCAAGCCCATTTATGTCAGTGGCTATGTTGGGCCTAATGGGTCACACACTAACACCTTATTGTCATGATAATATAGCATTAAAGGTATTGGGCCTAATAATGGTTATTAGCCCAAGAAGAAGTTTGGAAGCCCACCAAAAGGGAAAAGGGCGCATGGATCATGTAATGGGTTAGATGGTCCAAAACATTACTAATTAATTTAATTAGTTAAATTAATTATCAAATATTTAAATTTTGAATTTTGAATTTGAATTTTGAATTTTGAATTTTGAATTTGAATTTTGAAATTCGAATTTTGAATTGAAATTTGAATTTTGAATTTTGAATTTTGAATTTTGAATTTTGAATTTGAATTTGAATTTTGAATTTGAATTTTGAATTTTGAATTTAGAATTTGAATTTAGAATTTGAATTTTGAATTTAAATGTATGAACGTTTGAATTTGAATTTGAATTGGCTATGAAAAGTTGTTTTATAACAAAAGGATAAGATAAGATCTTGTTGGAACAAATCTCTTGTATCAAGAGGAAATCTTTGGAGATCACCAAGGGCTGTTTGGGGCGCTGATTTGGTGTGATTATAAGTGTCATCTAGTCAACCAAATAAGCTCCAATCAGATTTGGTTGGTTGAGAGAATCAGTGAGTGAGTTAGTTCAAATTTGAATGCAACTTCTCAACGTATCTGGACCGTTTCTGGAGCCGAAGGGGGCGCACATATGGCTGGCCATATGATGGCCAGTAGATCAGAATTTTGACTAGGTTAAGACCTAGTCTCATGAGAATTCAAAGGTAGGTTGTTGGGAATTTTGAATTGCAACAACTCCACCTTTTTCTCCCTCTTTGTGCGCCACCTCAATTAGTTTTTTAAGTGAAAAATCTGATTGCATCATGACTCTCTCATCACACTCTTGTGCGCCAACTTGGGTAGGTTCTCCTTAGGGTTTTTCACAAAACACCTTGCCAATTCTACTCCATTCTATGCTCCATTTTTGTGATGTTTTCTTTCTGAAAATATCACTCTTCTAAACACATTCACCTTACCTCCTCCTTCACCTATTGAGTGCATAGCAAGCCTCTTTGTGGTGATCAATTGGTGGTTCTTTAAGAAAGAGTTCTTGCATCTTGACGTGGGTGGTGTGGATCAACGTTAGAGGGTTTGAACCCTTCAAACCTGACATTGATCAACTTGGAGTTCGAATCACAAACAAAGGTAACATCATGCTGTCTTAAAGCATGAATCTTTATTGCATGTGTGATTCGGCTTGAGAAAAATTTTTATTTTTCCCTCTCACATGCATTGGCTTTCAAGGCCATTTTCTTTCAAGTTGTATCAGAGCCCGGTCGCTTTACCATCGGCGGGTGATGGTACTTTGTTTGTAAAAACTTGTTCTTTACGGTCAAAAATTCTTTAAAGAATTAAAGCATGAATCATAGTATATGGATTTTGAAATACTATGCTTTAAATTGTTAAAGTTTTTATTTTATGAACATGATAATATGATTGCTATGTTCATATATCTGTACGTGTTCGTGGTTTTGTTTCTTTTTCTTTGTGAAAGTTTTGAAAAGAAACACCTTTTTGAAAGGGATGACTCGACCATGAGGAGTACTTTGAGTACCTTGATTGTTTTCTTATTTTTCTCTATGAATTGTTCCATGAGAATGACATGAAATTTTTGTGAAATTTTTTTATCATATATATGGATATGTGATTCGGCCATACAAGGTGTGGTGTCTACTTGTGTGGTTTAATTTTGTGTTCTTTGAGAAAGAGTCATCAAAATTTGAATTATATTAATTGTTATATAGTTCGGCCATTAAGAAAATTTGAATCATGATTCTTGCAATGATATTTTAATTGTTAAAATGATAAGACGTATGGATGAACATGTTATATAATATTTGATATTATGTGCTTGCAAGTTATTTGAATTTTCAGGTGCAAATTGGAAGGGGATGGTCATGGTGCCCGAGTTTGAATTTCAAACTTTATTTTTTAAATTAAAGGTGTAATTTTGCTCGATTTGAATTAAAATGTAAATTTGAATTTTAAATTTTGAATATTCATTTGTCCCTCCAAAGATGTTTTGGAGTTTCTTTAATTATTTTGTAATTAGAGAATTAGGCTAGTGACGCTTAGACGACAAGGAGTCGTGGCTTGAGAAGCAAGAAGGACGAATGCACGAGCACCATGATCGTCTCAAATAAAATTGTTTTATATGCATGTATGCTTTTATGTTTTAAAAAAACGACTAGTATGCATGAAATTGGACAAATCGCGTTTGTATGTATTATTATGCACGTCCAATTACGACTAGTGTAATCCGATAGATGTTTGACATAGGATACGACTAGCATGATAATTGTACCTATACGTTTGATGAGACTTAATAAACCCTAATTTTAGTATGACTAATCCACTATCACTGCGTTCAATACTCGATACGAACAAACTGACTGGTCCTAATTTTATGGACTGGTATCGGAACGTCAGAAATGTTCTGCGGGCCAAAAAAGTTGCTTATGTCCTTGACACTGCTTTACCTATTGCGCTTAAGGAAGGGGAAGATGGGTTCGCGGAATTTGATTTCGAGGCCCACAGCAACACATGGATGGTAATGTGTTGGCTTGTTGCATCATGCTGGCATCCATGTCGCCTGAACTGCATAAACAGCACGAGCATATGGATGCCCCCTCTATTATCATGCATCTCAGGGAGTTGTATGATATTAAAGGCAGACATGAGAGGTATGAGACCTTTAGGGAATTGTTCGTATGCAAGATGACTGAAGGCATGTGATTTAACCACCATGTACTGAAGATGATAGCGCTCATTGAGAAGCTAGAGGGTCTAGGGTTCACAATGGATGTTGAATTAATTAATGACTTAGTTCTATCATCACTTCCTCCTTCTTTCAGTGAATTCATAATGAATTATATCATGCATGGGATGCTTGTGAGCTTGCCAGAGTTGTTAAGTATGTTAACAACTGCTGAAATGTCTATCAAGAAGATGAGAGACAAGCTCTTCTGATTGGTGGGCCTGAAAGGGGCAAGGGTAAGGGCAAGGAGCCTGCGAAAGGCAACTCCCTTAATCCCAAAGGAAAGTCCAAAAGGAAGAAAGGAAAAAAGAAGGGTAAGAGTGCACCCAAGGACCAAAGCGATGTTGTGTGCTTCCATTGCGGCAAAAAGGGCCATTGGAAGAGGAATTGTCCGAACTACCTGAAGAGTGTGAAGGAGCATGGTGATGCTTATACCTCAGGTATTCACATGATTGAGATAAATTATTCTTGTGCTAATCTGACTTCATAGGTATTGGATACCGGTTGTGGTTCTCATAATCTGCAATGTGTTGCAGGTGCTTAGGAGCCCTAGAAGATTGGAGAAGAACGAGGTGGATCTCCGCGTTGGTGATGGAGCAAGAGTTGCTGCTCATGTTGTTGGAGATACCGACCTCATTAGCCTACGGGCCTCTTATTCCATTTGAATAATTGTCTTTATGTTCCTGGCATTTCTAGAAACATTATTTCTATTTCTTGTTTAGAACAAGATGGTTTTGCTTTCACTATTAGGGATGGTACATTTTCTATCATTTTGTATGATATTATTTTTGGTACTGCTTCTTTAATAAATGGCTTGTATGTTTTGAAAATGGGAACTGAAGTGCTCAATGTAGATGTGAAATGACCTAGGATAGATAATCAATCTTATCTTTGGCACTGTAGACTAGTGCACATAAAATGAAACAAGATTGTCTAGGATGCATAGAGATGGATACCTAGATCCCAAGGATTTGGAATCCTATGGACAATGTGAATCTTGTCTAGTTGGGAGAATGATTCGTCAAAAGCCCAAAGGGCTTGAGATTCATAGGGCTAGTGAGTTATTAGAACTCATTCACTCTGATGTATGTGGCCCAATGTTTATTAAAGCTAGAGGAGGATACTCCTATTTCATTACATTTACGATGAAGTAGAGAAACAGCGTGGCAAGATGGTTAAGTCATAGCGATCAGATCGTGATGGTGAATATATGAGCCATGAGTTTCGGGATTATCTGAGAGAAAATAGAATTCTCTCGCAGTTTACTGCACCTTACACACCACACCAATATGGTGTCTCAGAAAGAAGAAACAGGACCTTGTTAGACATGGTTAGGTCTATGATGAGTGAGACTCAACTTCCAAAATCGTTTTGGGGATATGCCTTAGACACAGGGGCATACCTTCTAAATAAGGTACCATCTAAATCTGTTCAGACCACACCATATACGATATGGAATGGTAAGAGACCCAACCTGAGTTACCTCAGGGTATGGGGATCGCCGGCATATGTCAAAGCGTTGGCATCAGACAAGCTTAGTGCTGAGAGTACTAAATGTCAATTTATGGGATATCCTAGAGGTTCTAAGGGATACTACTTTAAACACAAGGTGTTTGTGTCCAAGAATGCTGAGTTCCTTGAGAAGGATTTGATCTCTCAAGGAGCCAGTGGGAGTAAGATTGATCTTGAAGAAGTTCAAGGACCACAGGAACAAATTGAGGAACCCGAGTCTGCTCCGCAGGCGACGTTCTCCAAAGGAGAAGTAAACACACAACTCCGTAGGTCAACGAGGGTCATCCATCCACCTAAGAGGTATGGGTTTATGATTAAGAATCAGCAAACCGTCGAGGATGTTGAGCCAAGTAACTACGAAGAAGCAGTCAAGGATGTTGACTCTTCTAGATGGCTTGAAGCCATGGAATCTGAAATGGATTCGATGTATCAAAACAAGGTATGGACCTTGGTTCCTAAACCGCAAGGAATAGTTCCTATCGGTAACAAATGGGTCTTTAAAAGAAAGACTGATGCAGATGGCAACGTTCAGACCTACAAAGTTAGGTTGGTTGCGAAAGGGTATCGTCAAAGACAAGGAGTTGACTATGATGAGACTTTATTACCAGTTGCCATGATCAAATCTATTAGGATCATGCTTGCAATAGCAGCATATCACGACTATGAAATTTGGCAAATGGATGTCAAAACCGCCTTCTTGAATGAGTTCTTGAAGGAGGAAGTGTACATGACACAACCTGAACGCTTTGAAATCAAAGATCAGGAGCATATGGTATGCAAACTACAAATGTCGATATATGGGCTAAAGCAAGCATCAAGGAGTTGGAATATTCATTTTGATGAAGTCGTTAAGAGTAACGGTTTTATCAAGAACGAGGATGAACCTTGTGTTTACAAGAAGGTTAGTGGGAGTAATGTCGTCTTCCTGGTACTTTATGTAGATGACATATTGCTAATAGGAAATGACATCCCCACATTACAAATAACGACAGAGTGGCTTTCAAAAAGCTTCACCATGAAGGATTTGGGAGAAGCGACATTTATACTTGGTATAAAGATCTATAGAGATAGATCCAAGAGGCTGATGGGTTTATCTCAATCCACGTATGTTGACAAGATGCTAAAAAGGTTTAGCATGGAAGGGTCGAAAAGGGATTTTCTTCCCGTCAGTTATGGGGTACATCTTTCAAAGGCTATGTGTCCTATGTGTCTGCTAGTCGGTATAAATGCGTACCAAAAAAGTTTCCCAGAAAATAATAATAAGTGCATGATAATTACTAGAATGATATGTAGGACTTGTAAAACGAGTTTCAAGTCAAAATAATAAGAACTGGTGCCAGAAACTGATACTGGTTATGAAAAGCGCGTACCGGAAAGGTGCTCCGAAAAATATAATAAAAATATGATAATTCTTGTAAAATTGAGTAGGTTAAGAATCCAAAGTTTGAGATGAAAATGCTAAGCGTAACAATTAAAGTTAATACTGTGTGCTTAAGTGAGTTTTGGCTATAAATACTCCATTATGGGCACGAAACCCTAGGACCAGAATTCTCTACGTGACTCACTTGGTGGCTGAGTGTTGGCAACTGTTCCATTGCCTTCCCTTCATCATTTTTTGAGCTTGTGGCCATTTTCCTTCACAAATTCTTCTCCTAAACACTTGGTATGAGTGAGGATCATCCTTGGGAGTGTGTTGGTGGTCTTGTTTCTGAGTTTTGGAGTCAGTGTGAGGGAGGTTTGGTTGCTGACTTGTTGGTTTTGGGTTGAGAGAAGCCTTGTCTTGGTTTTTGGAGGTCCAAGTGGTGACCTTTGGTGTTAAAGAACCAACATTTGTGTTGCTATTTTCGTGCACCTTGAGGACAGTACCTTAGCACCTGATTTGGGAGCTCCAAGAGCATCCTTTTGCTGAGTTTAAGCTTGGGTAAGCTTCATCACCTTTGAACTTGAGTTTTTATGCTTAAAAATGAACCTTGATGCATGTTATGGTTAAAAGATGATAACCTAACTTGAGAAAATGCTTAACACACTTAGAACCTGGGCATGCTTCGATCATTCTATATTAAAATTTTCATTTTTCCTTGTTTTTAACCTGCTGTAACAGGTTACTTATTTTATAAAGTATTAAATGTTAAAATAGATAATATTTTATTTAATCTAAGTTACTGTTAACTTATTAATTTTTCTTATACCGATCCAAATTACCTCTTTTAGGCAAGTTGGTCTCCGATTATCCTTACATACTTTAACTCTTTAACTTGGCTATGAGAATAATTCTAAATTATAGTTTATTCATGGTTAAAACTCATTGGCCCTTGTGTACCCAAAAAAAAAAACTAATCGTCCCTCCCCAAAATGTACTAAACGATCTCCTATAATCTTAATTCTAATAATTAATTTAATTTAACTTTTAATATATAACCAATAATCTCGGGTGATTTCAAAAAAATACACGTGGTTAACTACTAAAGCTGAAATTACGTGTTATTGATATATTGAAAATACAAGTGAGATAATTGTCAAAATCAAAATAAAATTTATTTGTCACATATTAAAAATTTAAGTACTAACTGAAATTTAAATTACATTAACACTTTTTAAATGGACAAAATTAAATGAATAATATGTATAGTCATGACAATATCCTGTTCTACTTGTTGATGTTACTCTTGTTATTATTTTATCTAGGATTGATTGGTGATTGTGATGTAGGACCATTATAACTAGACAGGCTGTGTCAATTCGGAACAGAGTCTAATAGGATAACATGTTTTCATGTATTAAAGACATTGTTATTATTCCAAATTCACTACCCTGTTTTCAGAGCTAGTCTAATCAAAATTATGCTTTTGTTTATCAATTATAAAAAAAAAAAAAAAAAAAACACTCAAAGTGTCCAAGCAATGCATAAAAGCAATATGAGATGAATATATTGGATTCTAATTTGAGTACGAAAATATAGGCACGAGATTGTAGGTGAAGTAACAGAAGTGGGAAGCAAGGTACAAAAATTCAAAGTCGGAGACAAGGTGGGTGTGGGGTGCATGGTTCAATCATGCCGCTCATGCCAAAGCTGTGATGAAAGTCTTGAGAATTACTGTCCAAAAATGATTCTAACCTATGGTACCAAGTATGTTGATGGCACAACCACATATGGAGGCTACTCTGACCATATGGTTGCAGATGAACACTTTGTGATTCATATTCCAGATGGTTTACCTCTTGATGCTGCTGCTCCTCTCCTTTGTGCTGGGATCACAGTGTATAGCCCTTTAAGATATTATGGACTTGACAAGCCTGGCCTTCAATTGGGTGTGGTTGGTCTTGGTGGGCTTGGCCATGTAGCTGTTAAGTTTGCTAAAGCTTTTGGGGCTAAGGTGACAGTAATTAGCACATCTAGCAAAAAAAAGAAGGAAGCCATTGAACACCTTGGAGCTGACTTATTTGTTGTCAGCAGGGACCCAGATCAGATGCAGGTACCATTTAGAAACACACTTCTTTGTTGTAAATGTGAGAAACAGTTTATTGATCAACTTCTAATGTGTATTTTAGGCTGTAATGGGTACCTTGGATGGTATCATTGACACAGTTTCTGCTGTCCATCCTCTACTTCCTTTGATTGGTCTGTTGAAGTCTCATGGGAAACTTGTCATGGTTGGTGCACCCGAGAAGCCACTGGAGCTACCGGTGTTGTCTTTACTTTTGGGTAAGCATACGGAAAATAATACCATATGTTAGTTAATGTTTGCGGATCAATTCCAAGGTAGGCGGAGGTTCAAACCCGAAATCAAATTAGTCGGGTTAAGGCTTCAAACACCGCTCATATCTAAAAAAAAAAAGCACCCTCCTGCAACATAGAATTGAAATAACATGCCGTTGATAGAGACTTTGCATAAATTTTTGGTTTATTAACAAGTAAAGAATGCTTTGGTGGGTTGGTGGAAAATGCACTGATGAATGATTTGTTGAAATGTGAATTACAAATATTGTACTTTGTTTGCAGGGAGAAAGTTAGTAGCTGGCAGTTGCATTGGAGGAATTAAGGAGACACAAGAAATGATTGATTTTGCTGCTAAACATGATGTGAAACCTGACATTGAGGTTATTCCTATAGATTATGTGAACACTGCAATGGAGCGCCTCCTCAAAGCAGATGTGAAATATCGATTTGTGATTGACATTGAAAACACACTAATGCCAAGCTCTTAAATTTTCATGATTCATGTTTCAGAGAATGAATGTAATGCAAGAGGATAACGCTCAGAGTTTACTGTTTTAATTAGCCATCGTTTCAGTGAGTATTTGATTTCATGCGCCTTGACATTAATCGAATAAATAGCTGCATGTAGGGCATGTAAGCTTGGGTTAAAATCTTGTTCGGGAGGAAAACATTTTGTATTACATATAAGAAAATAAATTGTATGTGGATTTGGAGATTTAGTAGATAGATTTGTTTTTTACTTTGATTAGTAAGAAAAAAAATGGAATTGCTTCTACTAGTTTCTGAATTTTACATTGGATATAGTTCGAGCAGCGTGCGTGGCTTGAATCGGAATAGTTTATTTTACTAAAAAAAAAAAAGTTGTGGCTAGGATTTAAAAAATAAAACAAAAAAAATCCATTTAACAAAATGGATTAAGACTTGTGAGTGGTGATAAAATAGGTAACCCCGCCTTCAATCTATTTCAAAACAAATCAATCGTTTTGTCCCGTTTTTTAAAGTAAGTTGAAAATTTCAATTCGCCCTCCCATCAACATACTAAAAAGAAAATTTTAGAATTGTATTCCTCAAAAATATAAGGAGTATCAAATAAAGAATAAATAAGTATAAGAAGATATTGATTATTGTTTTTTCGAAAAAAAAATAAACCTGATGGATCAACCCGCCCTACAGATTCAACCCGTTTTGACCCGTTGTTTTGCCACCTCTTGTCCTTCTAAATCAATTTGGGTTCGTTTTGATTAGTTTATGAAAAATTAATTTTTTATACATCATTTGGTTTAGAATGATTTTTAAAAAATATAGTCATTTTATTAAAGGTTAGGAATATTAATTAAAAAAATATTTTGGCTTTTATTATTTTTTGAAGTTAATTTTTTTTTTATCCACCGGTTTAACTAAGTTGATTAAGTCTCACAAGATTATTAAGGCGACAAAATTCTCTCCAAAATTTTGTCACAGTTATGTATTCATATTCGAACTCGAGATTACTTGTTTAACGCGTACAAACAACCCCTTCCAATATGTATTGATTGGAGAATTATTATTTTTTAATTAAAAAGCAAGTTTTTGAAGATAAAAATTCAATTAACCTTACGGTTGAAAAATTCTAAAAAAATATTATTTGACATATATAATTGTGTAGATTATAAATTTGCGGGCTAAAATGGATGATTTAAGAAAATTAATTGACGAGTAAGACCCACTTAAGTGGTTAAAAAGACAAAGAAATCAGATGTTCACATTTCTCTCTCCTCTCTTTTTTCTTCCTCACAAGCTCCTCACCATGGAAATAGGGAAAGTGAGCTTCTCAAATTAAAATCTTGAGTTAGAGTCATTTTTGAGAGAAACTTCCAACTACAAAGTTGTTCCCATTGATCTTGTGAGTGACTTTCATGTAGAGTGCACCCTGTGGAGATCATTGTGTGAGGAGAAAACCCCAAAATACAGCCACGAAAATTTGGTGTCTTGGAGGAATTTTGGTGTTTTCTTGTGTTGATTTGGTGACTTCTATTTGAATCGAGAATCTATGCATAGTAAGAGATCATGAGGAATCATGATCCGTCTTAGCGACGACAGAAGAATATTCTTAGTTCTATAAAAAGCTATATTTAGTCAATCAAGAGATACGATACTCTATCCTTGCTCTCGACTAAATGTGAATGACGCTGTGAAGGATGATGCCGACATGGTATCCAAATTAGAAAGGTAGATCACGTGATTAACTCGATTAGTTCTGAGGCCACAGAGCATTATTAGTGTCTTACGTGGTCATTAGATAAATTAGGCCTCTTAAAGGAGTTTAATTGGTCCAACTTTATTTATGTCAATGACTAATTGGGCCTAATGGGTCACACTCTAAGGTTATTCTTGATTGCTTATATTTACCAAGTTTGGGCCAATAATTATTATTGAATTTTTTCAAAACTCTAGGTGTAATTGGGTTGGAGTTAGACTCCAAGCCCAATATCATCATGCGCCCCATTTGGACTGTTAGTGAAAGATTAGTTTTTTCTACTAATAGGCCCAAATGTGTTAATAGGCCCAACATGGTCTTGGGCCATGAGTCCTAGCAAGTCAAATAGTTGACTTAGCCAAAATAAATTTTAGCGCAGTTTGAAATTTGAATTTAAATTAAATTTTAAATTTAATTTAAATTTTAGATTCAAGAGGTTAAGTTGTTAAGGATAATTTTAAATTATCCAAATCGATATCTAATGAGATTAGATAGAGATTTATTATTACTATTTTATTTAAATTATGAATTTAAATAAAATTGTATTTTGCAACAATCAAGGGATTTGATGAAGATTCAAAGAGATTATAAATGTTTCACCAAAAAAGAGAGAGATTAAATGGATATAATCCATTAAAGTCTATTCTTAACTAGAAGTCAAATCATGAGGTGTCTATTTTCATGATTAAAATGATATCCTAAGAAGATACATCATATCTTCATGGATATGGTCCTAAGTAATGTTATTCAATTAGGATTGAAAAACTCTAATTAGATAACATCAAATAGCCCCTCTCTCCTTCCAATATAGAAAAGTAGTGCCTCTATTGACTAGAAATCCTAGTCTTGGCCGCCCCTTTCTCTTCATATCTTCTTCCATTGTTGCTCCTCTCACCTAACCTCAAGACAATACTACAATCTTGAGAAAATAATCAAAACACTTGAAAGCCTCTACCTTGCCACAGCCTAGCAAGCTTCCAAGGAAAGGAGGACTCAAGGAGAAAGTGTTTCTCATAAGCAACAAGAGGTAGCTGTGTGGATTACTGTTATAGGGAGTCCTCTTCTTTGACACCTTCAAGTGAAAAGATATGAACTTTAAACCCTACATGTTTTTAACATGCAGATCCTATTATATGAGGGGCATAGGTTGTCTATGCTTCCGCATCAAAGATAAATTTTATTTTATTTTTTTGTTTTTCACCCTCATGTAGGCGCACCAAGGTTTGACCAAGGTGCAATCTTTCTTGACTTTCACTTACAAATTATATTATGTACTTCTGGAAATACATTCTTAAACGAGTGTATTCTATGGAGTACATAGTATAGTTTGTAAGATTTGTAAATACAAAGTTTGTAAATATAAGTCTCCATTTTTTATTACTATATGTATAAAATATTTTTTTTTAAA